GTTTATAGCTTGTTTTCAAGGAGTTTATTAGTAAGTAAAAAAATAAAAAGTTAAATTTTTTTTTTTCTTAATATTATACAAATGTACCTACAACTGCTTTTCAAGAAAACTTATGATTAAAAATAGTTTGCTTACAATGTTTTATATTTATCATGGATTTGCTTTTCATGATGTAGTATTTTTTGAGGTCTTTTTCTATTTGATTGAAATATAATATTGAAAAAAGTTATTAGCAAAACATTTTATATTTTATACAATATATTTTCTGATTAAAAAAAATATGATATTAGCAGGCAGATTTAGTACCTGTTTCCTTTACGTAATTTACATTTTTATTAAACGGACATTATTTAAGAAATTTCAATTTTAATTTCTAAGGGGTTTTTCATCCACTCTTACTGTAAAGAAATCAAAAGGGATAAAAAAAATATCTGGCAACCATATGTAAAATGAAACTGTATCAATTGTAATATTTTAATATCCACTCACTCAGACCATTTTAACGTAATCTAGGCATAGTGAGAAACAATATTGATGAGAATATTTGAGTTATTTTAAATTAAGATATCAACAATTTTTTCACTAACCTTATGATTATAAGCTTCTGCGGTCGAGGAGAAAAAATATATTGATTGTAGAAAAATGTTTGTTGATCTAGTAAAATACGGCCGGTATTATATGAGCAAAAATCAATTTCGTATATTCGCGGCTGAAAGCGCTTTTTGTAAGCCAGTCAGTAGTCATCATTGTACGTTTTCACGGTTCGCTAGGGCGGCCTTTATATATGTATTTTTGTAATGATTTGGTTCTAACAAGGTTTTATTCTTGGTACTGCATATATTTTAAGAATTGATCAACAATTTTACGTATAAGATAAACCTTATGATTATTATTTACTTGTATACTTTCTTTTAACATACAATAATAATTAAAGTTTGCTTGATGTGAATCGAAATCAATTATTATAATGAAATCATTTGCATTTCTCGGCATTGTCTTGTTTCATAACGTTTACCTTTTTTTATTTAAAAGGCAAACAATATGAATGATCCTCCAAATAGCCTTTGTATGGTCGAAAACCACCACCACTAGTCCTTGGTGTTCTTACGTCAATCACAGAGAACCATCAAAGTACCATATTATGGTGTTGTTCTAATCGATTTCTCTAAGTAATTAACTGGTACTGATATTAAGCCCATGCTACTGACAGATGTATTGACGGTCAAAATCCACAGCTAGGTAACTTTTCCCGTCGTCGTAGATTCTTAACAGAGAGAACATTTGGGTTACCACGTGCCATCTGCGAGAAAGTCATGGCTCTGAAAGAAGACCAAGAACGAATCATGAGGACTATCTCTTCCACTTAACCGTTGCAAAGGTATGAGTGACAATTTGGATGCTAAACTGTGACAGCAACTGTAGCGTCCGGATGAGAGAGGAAAAGGGGCCACTCTCTTGCTCCACATGTACTTTTGTTATAGAGGTTTCTTCGTAAAACGCGTAAAGACGTGTTGTTGGCATACCAAGTGTGGATGTAGTGCTTGCGCTATTTGGACTTCGTACAAATATTTGGACAAATACGGTGAATACGCTACTTGAATACGCAATGCCAAGTGAAGTGTCACCTTTAGAAGAATATATTAAAATAAAACGAATATTTTATTGTAGTTACTACGCGTTTATAGTCTACCGCCAACGAGTACTCAATTTTCTGAAGTACCGCTCTGGATGCCTGCAGAATACCTTAACTGTGTCTCGATGTCTTGCGGTGTGGTCACGGACACGGGATTTTATATTTTTAAGAAGGAGCTCCCAGGTGTTGAATAGATTCCCTATTATAATAGCCGGATAGACTATAATAGCCGGATTAGTCTTGGTATGTACCTGTCTTCACGAGGAAGGATCTGTGGTTTATCTAACCGAATATACTGGCCTGTTTTGTCTAGTATGTGTTTAGTCACAGCTGACTTTGACGCGCGCCTATTTTTAATGTCTGTTTTTAATAACAAGACCAACTGACTGATATTTACATTTCATGTGTTGCTGTAAAGGAACCAAAACGACGGGAGTATGTTGTTAATAATAATTATTAACGCGTCTTAAATAGTAAATCCGACAAATATCGGTTTTATTTCAATTAAAACTCTCGAAAATCTTAGATGTCAGAAAATATTAAGTTATTAGAAGGAATTGTAATTGTCTCAATCTAAACTTATAAATAATTCTACCAGCGTTATCTATCCAAGGAATTGATTGCTCTTTTGTGTTCCAGCTTATCAAATATTTCATTTTTAATATGAATAAAGAGTGGACTTCACAGGAAAAAGTAATAATGAATACAAAACGTTACAAAGGTAATAAGTTAAGTAGGTTGCATATTTATTATATTTTAAAGTACTATAGATTAATTATTAGTGCAGGAGTACAATTGATGAACCTTCTGGATATAAAATGAATTATGTATCTTACTTACTATTTCTTTAGGTTCATTTATTTACAGCTCGTTTATTACTTTTTCACGTGTGTCTCTTATAATTTGATTTTGTTATATGAGTTACTATTTAAACTGTTCAGATTCAGATTATAAGTTTTAACTTCCTAACTACTAAATACAAATTTCATATATTATAACAATAAATCATTTGATACTCTAATTGAAGTTCAGTTTAACATAACTCTTCATAAACTATACATTTATATAAAGAGAGACGAAAGTAGACAAATTTCTAAATTGAGCTTGAAATGATAAAACCCCTCGAGAAATTTCCTCTTCGCTAAGTGAAGCTCAGCACAGGGGTAAGGAGGGCAAATTGTGTTTACCGAATAAGGGAGTTGTTTTCTAAATATATTCTGTAATATTTAATCTTCACTTTTCTTTACATACATATATTAATTATGCAAATAGTTATAACAAAAATGTTTTTTAATTTTTTTATTGTTTATAAAGTAATAAATTTATTATGGCTAGACCTAGGCTTGTTAATTATATACACGTGTGACATAGTGTGTCCTGACAAATTCTTCTGAATATCAGACTTTTTATTCAAATAGATATTTCTTATGACAAAGTGATAGATTAATTTGCAAGCATTTTCTTTGTTAACACTTCAAAGCGTGGGGCGATTAAATTTTTTTAAACAGGTTTACACGATACTCTCAGTCAAGAAGCTATAACAATATTTTACATTTACTATTTACTAAACTTACAGATACAAAAATTATTTAAACTAAAATACTTTGACCCTTCATAGAGTTCTTTTATATTAAGCGTTAGTTTTAATTTATTGAAGACCTTTTTATGAATTCCGCGATTTACATATAATTCACTTTTTAATCATCACCTAAGATTCTCTTGGCTCTCTTTAATAGCGTTTATAGCGAGAATACTTTAATATTATAGTAATTAATTAAGAATAAAAGTTATTAGTGTATTAGTGACAATAATGTTTTCATTGTATATAATCAAAAGTAAGGATACTCAGAAACTGTTCATCGAAACTTTATCATTGATTATTCATGGGTAAAGAGACACTTAAATCAACCTGTGCAATAGCAAATTTGAGAACGAGTGCGGTATACTTCAACGAGTTTTCCATGTTCATGTCAAAATAAAAAAAGGACTAAAGGAAAACCATGAAGATTTTTCATTTCTTACGTTTTATACTTTAATTTGTTTTGATTGAATTTAATGAATGTACAACCGATTTCAATGTTACTGCAATCTGACTGGACTGAAATTCAAATCTTTTACAGTTACTGAAATTTGAATTATTTTCCAAAGGTCATAATAAATCCTAATTTTTCCTTTGCTATGTGAGTTTATTAGAAGAGTTTATGAAAGCTCTATAAAACTATTTACAACGTAGACCTCATAAAAGATTCGGAAACTTATCAAAACAATTTACAAAAAACCCCAATTCAGTGTGTTTAATTTTCAGATGCGAAATTCTCTTAGTGATCTTGTTTTTAATCCAGTAATCCGAAGTTTTAGAACTATTAAAATTTTTCAGTAAGGTTTTGATATTAATTGTGATTTGATATTAATGTCTTAGTGAATTTAAAATAACCTTAAGTGCTTTCTGTAGTCATACTATTTATATTATGTTATATGAGATTGTATTTACTCAATTAATTTATTTTAACTTCCCTTTACCAGCCACCATTCTCGCTGAATTGGCTCCAAATTGTTCTTAGCGGTTCAATTTTCTTATTAAACAAACTTGGACGAGGCAATTTCAGTTGTTATTCTATTTAATTTTGATTGAATTAAATTATTCAAATTAAAAAGCCTCGTAAACAATCCAAACTAAATTAACTCAGAAATTGTTTAACCAACATATTAAACCTCAGGTTTTCTTTCATATCTGAAAAAAAAAACTCCCAAACAATTGTTACAGATTCCATAAAGTTACGAAAAAGTATTATCATAACGTTTCAATAGAGAAAAAATTATTTACGTACAGGTAAAATAACTTATTACTACATACTTACTAACTTACCAACGATCAAATTTACGACCATTTCAAGAGCACATACGAAGTGCCTAAAAGTTTAAGACGGTATAGGGATCCAAACGATCAAAAACCTGAATTTCCTCGAATCGAATTCCACGGCATTCCACCAACGCTAGAGGAACTAAGTAGTCAGATCAAGAGGAAGTCGTCTAAATCTGCACCGGGACCCGATGGTATCCCATATATAGTCTTTAAAAAATGTCCATCGGTTCGTAAACACCTCCTAAATATATACGGTAAAATCTGGTCAGGGAAGCAAATCCCGGAGTGCTTCGGGAAAGCAATTTTTGTCCTCATTCCCAAAAAAAATATAGTTACTGATCCGAAAGATACTAGACCGATAGCTTTAACAAATACTATATCGAAAATCTTTTTCTCGGTTCTACAAACGAGAATGACGCGATTCATGCTCAGCAACAACTATTTTAGGCCAAATCACCAGAAAGGGTTTTACCCGGGATTTCTGGATGCCTAGAACACAACACCTTGCTGTCGGAGAGTTTGAAAGATGCTAGAAAAAGCGAGCGGCAAATCACTGTTTGTTGGATAGACTTGGAGAACGCGTTCGGGTCGATACAACACGAATTGATGCTATTCGCGCTTAGATGGTACAACTTTCCACCCCTAGTTAGAGATATGATCGCGTCGTATTACTCAAAATTAAGGTTTTCTATAATAACTAAAGAAGGCCCTTCAAAAAGTTTGAGCTATAATGTAGGACTGTTTCAAGGTTGTTGTCTATCTCCAATTACGTTTAATATCGTTATTAACATCTTAGTAGACAAATTAATCTGTAACGAGAAAAAATGGGGTTATCGGTTTAAGTTTAATAATAAATACACGGAATCCATTTTAGCCTTCGCTGACGATCTCGCAATACTGACACGTAACCCCAAACACTGTCAAGTACTATTGGATGAAGTGGATAAATTCTGTGAATGGACGGATGGATTGAGGACAAAACCCAGTAAATGTCATTGTCTGTGTCTTGGTAGGCGGAATACAAGATACACCTCATACGATCCGGGACTATCGTTAGGCGGTCAATGCATTTCTACGGTTACGGAAAATGCACCATTTAAATTTCTCGGTCGTAAGATTGATAATATAGGCCGTACTCCATCTTTAGAAGGAATAGTAGATAGGTTTTTGAACGATCTTAACAAGGTAAATAGCCAACTGATAAGTAACGTCAAAAAAGCGTGGATCTACGAGAATTACTTAACTTCACGTTTGAATTGGCCTTTCCTCGTCTATGATTTTAATAAAACCCTTTTGTCAAAGTTAGATGCAGGCGTCATAAATATGTTGAAGTTGTGGCTCGGGCTTGCTCTAACGGCTGATTCATCGGCGTTATTTAGGGGAAGCAATAGTTTTGGGATGAGTCTAAAAAGGCCATCGGAGCTCTATAAACACCTAAGAGTTCCCAAGAGATATATCCTGGGGAAATCCCATGATGACATAGTGACATCGCTCCCAAAAGATGAAGATGCCCCCGAGCTAGAGTCACGACTTCAATTCCATAAGCAATTTATGATAGGAGCACAAAGTAACAGAGCGGGGTTAGGATCAAATAGGAAAGTCCAAGATGCGGATATATTGAAGTCTTTTATTCGGCAAGACGAGAATGATAAATATAAGATCCATGCAATGAATTTAGAAATGCAGAACGAGTGGTTAGACATAGGAGATTTTTGCATCCCATTAGCATTAAAATGGCGCACTTTAATTTATGATTGGTCGCCAGCATTGCTAAAATTCTATCTTAATGCGTTCCAGATGACTCTCCCAGATCAGAGTAATTTAGTAAGATGGGGTAAAAGTACCGAAAAAACTTGCTATATCTGTGGAAAGGCAGTTGGAACTGCTAAGCATCTGCTGGTGGGATGTAAGGTACTCCTGGACAGCGGTCAATACTCGCGTCGTCACGATAGGGTTCTAGAAGTCATACGTGAAGCGGTTAGTCTTTCGGTAGCCAGAGCGCAAAAGGAAATAACCACAAACGAACGATCAGTAGGTTTTGTGAGAGAAGGCACTAGGGCTACAAAATCAAACGTCAAGCCTTACTCCATCCTTAAAGCGGCGTCGGATTGGACTATAATGATGGACACGTATGAAAAGCAATATAAAATCCCCGAGGATATTTGTGCGTCGGCCTCCAGACCGGATATATTTTTGTTTTCGCGAATTTTAAAGCGCGTAGTGATGATAGAGCTTACGGTCCCTTGGGAAACCAACATCCCCAAAGACCATACCATCAAGGTCAACAAATATTACGAGCTCAAAAACGAACTCACTCGAAATAGGTTCGTAGTAGATTTGTACGCGGTAGAGGTAGGAGCGAGAGGTATAACAGCGAAATCTCTCTACAACCTACTAAAGGACTTGGGCTTGTCCAGAACTCACATTAATGCATTCTTGGAACGTATATCGAAAGCAGCCCTAGTAGGTTCTTCTCAAATTTGGTTAGGTAGGGAGAGGAGCTTGGACAGTGGAGGTGAGCGTATAACGCGCGTTAGTTAAGGGGCCCCTTAAACCTACACTTGGGTCGCAAGTCCCAGGCACTGTTGAAGCTCCTCTCCCTGCAACGCGATGGACCCGGCACCCGCACGGTGAATCCATGGAATGCTTAGTAGTTTCGTTTGACATAAGTATTACAAGTTTTTTACAATTTTATCTGTATGTTTTGTAAATTACAGAGAATAAAATATAAATTACAGCAAGCCAATCAATTTCCAACTTTAAAATGCTACCTACTTTCATTTTAATTAATATTACAGGGCCAATCATTATTATATTTATTTTGGGTTAAGCATTCAAAATTCATTTAAATCTATATATGTATAAGCTACAGAATTGGTGTATATTTTAATACAGATATCATATATCACTGCTGCAATAGGTATATTTGATAATTGAGAGGTGTATTGCCGGCGGCTATAGAGTAATGGTTTATAGTTTGTAGCCACGCCCTTTACATATATTGATATTTCGTTTATATATTTCAAATTAATTTCACCTTGATACCAATAAATCATGAATGATCAATTTTAATGACTTATGTTATGTTTTTTCTCTTATTACGAAACTCAAATGAGTATTTAATATATTTTAATATTACATATTTGTTGATAAAGTATAGTACTAGTGTATAATTGTTTAAATTTATCATAATCGAAATTACTAGCCACGAGATCTGGTCTTATCATAATATTTTTGGTTAGTTCGACAAGTTAAAGTTGATGTTAGCTTTCATCATAGTTCTGTGTTTTGACAGAGAGAAATTATTTTATGGTTCTACAAACATATTAATTTTTATTTTATATTAAATTTTAATTATATTTATAATTTAAAAAACTCTATAACATTTAACTGTTCTAATAAACGTCAGTGTATTCTTTTTAATATTTACACAGAATCGTGTACTTGAACATTCAGATATTCTTTGTTTTTTATCATTCACACAAGCACTCAATATGAAACTAATATTTGTTTTGAAAACACTTAAACGAGACCTATTTGTTTTAGTCATGATTCTTGTGTCTCAATCAGAAAATCCATTTTTTTATGGTGTTTAAGGTTTCATAATAAGTGATATAAAATATAATAAATTTGCTCTTTTAAATTTTGTAGTTAAAAAACATTAATATTTAATAACTAAACTCAGTGCTAGCAACTAAAAGGTTACATTTAAATTGTAGACCCATTGATTTATCTCTACCGCATGTATTGAGCACAACCTAAATGCTACAACAGATATAGTAATTTAATAGGTCCAAGTCGAATACATCTCTGTGTCGGTAATAAGACGGGCGCCTAGTGATGGCAGCCTGCGAATAAATCAAGATTTATAGCTCCGAAAGACTATCTTTTATTGTACCAGTATTAATTCTAAGTTCGCAATAAATAAAATACACAAAGAAATTCTTCATCTTTGTGATCTTTTCTTACACTTTTATATGAATGAAAATATTTATAATAGAATTTATTCTCTTACCTAGAATAAGCAGCAGGTCAAACAAAAGAGTATAATAGGCTTAATGTATGAAAGCAAAGTTTTATAAAAATTCATAGAATAAATTGCACAGTATGTTTAAACTAATTAAACAAAAATATATTTGTAAAGCATCAGAAGTAGATACGAACACATTTGTTGCTTTCTAACAATCTCGTTACTGTTACAGAAGCGGAAAGTGAAAATATTGCAACATAGCATTAAAATTCTTTTACAAAACTCAGCTTTGTAAATTCTGGTACTTATATTGTCAGAATAACCTACTCTTAAATGACATGACCTGTACAAAATTAAACAATGAAAGTGTAGAAGGTTTTTAAAAATTGACGAAAAAACTGTACATATTTTACTACTGGCTTTTTAAGCAATTTAAGCCATTAATATTTGTTCTTAGTGACAATACAGTTTGTGAAACTCCATGGCGCATTTTGCTAAATATCGTGAGTGTTTGAGATTAAGATTTCGTGAAGTTTTAACATGAATACTATTTGTTTTACATTTAAAGGAATGTTTTGGCTGTTTATATTTGCAAAATAAGAATGCTTTATTTATTTTTGTTTTATCTCACTTTGAATATTGTTTTTTTTTTGATTAACATCCTAAAATGTTGGTTGGTATTATTATTGAAACATATATGTAATTAAAGATTTCTTTAAATCACTTCCATCTAAATTACGGAAGTGTATATTCAAGTTTCTGTCAGTCAAATAAAAAACATTAACGGTTTGTTTTATGATACGTTAATTATCATTTTGTTCTAATTTAAATTTTAACCAAAACATTCAATCAAGATACGATCGTATTGTGGTAGGCATTTTTGACAGGTTGATAATGATAGATATCACCGACAAAATTCTGTTTTTTTATTCCCTACTAATATGAATTGACGATAATTTCAAAATAATTTTTTTCCCACCAATGCCACAATAAAAATTTATTAAGCGTTGTTAAAAGTGTAAATCGGTTTCTATTTAATTAACTTTAACATGTTTGGTTTTATATTAAAATAAAATTGAAATCTAATTTTAAGTTTTTAAAAATGCAAAAATGCTTATTAGTTCGATAGCTGGATTTGTGATAGTGCTTTTTTAAGAGAAGGAATTTAACTACACGTTAATTGAATATAATTATTTTTGATATATGTATATGAATATTTGTATATATTCATATATGAAGTAGCTATATATATATATATATAAGCTATTTCATAAGTTGCATGGTGTAACAGCGCTGTAGGGGGAATCTTTAAATAGAAAATTTTCCAAAGTAGGTCAGTAGTTTTTTTTTTATAAATTTAATAGAATAAAACATGAAGTTGATTTACTTACCCATTGGCCACAAATATGTTTTATGAGCTTTAACAGTTTTACTTACTTTTCTATCATTTACATTAGAACATCACAAAAAAACATTTAGTTTATTAAAAGATTTTTTAATATTACTCAAATATACATAAAGAATATTCTCCTTATTCACGTTAGTGAAATAATGATTACTTGTCCTAAGTAAATAAAAACAAAGAAAGATACTTATTCTTAACAGTATAATAGTATGTTATGAACTGTAACTGTAACTGTTATGAAGTTTCAGATTATAATATTACATTAATGAATTGTAATTAAACAAAGAAAATTTACCAATAAGCCATTTAACGATTATAGATATAAATTTTTATTTAAATTACAATTTATTGAAACTTTAAGTATATTAAAATAAAAATAACAATGTAATAAACTATTATAGTAAAGAATCTTGGGACAATATACTTAAAAATCAACTATTATAAATTAACATACCGATTGTTGGCGGGATCGATAGCTTTTGTTCTAACAACTAAGCTCCTTATTGGCAGGTTTAATACTTCCTGTCCAAGCTAAATAAAACTAGGTTTCTATTGAAAATCTTCTTAGTTTCTTAATTACTGCCACAAGCGGTATTATAAAAGTTGATAGTATAATTTTTATATGAAGGAATTATGATGCTAAAATAATTGATTGCTTTTTCTTTTCTTTTTTTATAATAATCATAACACTTTCTTCTAATTAAATGTACATATTATTGTGATGGAATATATAAAATAACAGCCAAACAAATTACTTGTAGATATATGTAAATGCTGTTTCTCCTCATTATCTTTAAGATCACCATACTCGTATTATGTACTTACACATAATTATGTACTTTTCCTCGTGAATAACTAGTGAGTAGATAAATATTCTTTGTTTTTATTTAGGAAATCACTAGTCCATCGTTAAATGACATTTTTAAATAATATGAAATGAATTTTCTTAATATTATGATTAAAATCAGATACATCTAGTAATATGTAAATATTGCTTTTAAATTGAACAAACTAACTATGAATTTCCATATCATATATTATATTTTTGCATTGCATTTTTAAGATATATCGTAGTTGTCCGCCTTGAGGAAGATTGTAATACGGATTTTTGCTTAATACGTACGTAATTTTATGCAGTCTTAACTTCAGTTATACCTAAGACGGTTTTCCTCTTGTATATTACCTATTCGCAATCTCAGTATCATAAATCTTGTCTTTGAAATATTTTATAACTATGTCAGAGATTGAATTAAATTTTTAAAGGGACAAGTAATAAAAAAATTCCTTGAACGTGTCTTTGAGAGTTACTATTAAATATCTCAGTAGGTTTCAAACAAATAATTACTGTACGTTCTCTCAAATTGTGCTTCACGACAATGTTGTCTTGCGACATCGCAGTTTCGTGATCACGCTTATGAATTATCGCGTGGCCATAAAATAGTATAATTATAACAAAAAAAGAAATAAAACATAAATTTCAAAAAGTTTAACTTGTAAACAATCACATCCGTTTAGCTTATAATCATAATTTAATAAAAAGCATTATTATATACAATCTGTAACTTTGTACCTATTTATCACATAATAGTAAATTTAATTTCTGTACATATAAATTGATTCAACCAAAGGATATTGATTCCAAAGCAATTACTATCTCATCTTAATAATCCATAAACGCCTTAGGTAGGATTAATTAAATGATATCAACGTCATACCACCAAATAGAGATAATAATTATACCTATCAATGGCGATTAATTACTTATGGCTGGCCGGTATGACCTATAAAATTATAACTTTTTGATTTTTTATCTCTTACTTTGAACGTTATAAAAGTTAGTCTCTATTGAAATAAAAATAATATTTTTCGGACTCATGTACTACCTGTTTATAATATTTATTAAAAAACAAATACGCTTCCTTTGCAGCAATTAATTATAAACGTGTAGTAAGTACGAAAGTTATTAGTTTTATTTCAATAAATACTCGTGAAAAGCTTAGATCTCATTAGCCTCTATTATTTACTAATGAAGAAGCAAAATACTAAGATAAAATTATAACCTTGAGCTTCCAACTTCGTAAGCGTGGAATTAAAAATTGTATTTAAATTATTTAAATCGATGTATTTTTAATAGTTCATGAAAAACTTTGAAACTATTAAAAATTTATAATAGTAATATAGATGGTTCGTTAGGTCATTCGCTTATTTAGAGGCAGAACTTAAAATTTTGCAACGAACGCTGAAATCATCACACCGTCCGCGTCTTTTGGAATGACATATCTATTTATAAGTATTTAGGTGTTATAAATTTTCGAATAATAATTCAGAATATTCTTTTTTACAGAGTTTGTGAATTGATTAAGTTATTGAATACATATTTTTAAACAATACATTTTTAAAGAAGCTTTAAAGACTCGAGTATGGATGTTTATAAATTTTTATAATAATACAGTTTCTTCTTATTTTTACAGATTTAGAGATGGGATAACCTGTGAGGACCATATATTTACTTCTTTTATTAAAGTATATGTATAACATTTATGGGGATCCAGTTATTTGTAAAAGTTCTTATTATTTCCATAATCTCAAAGATTGTGATTATCTATAAAAAAAACAAAGACTGACCTCTTGAGTAGTGTTCTACATTGTGCGTCTGAAAAGAAATAATGTTACAAAAGGAAATGCTACTTTTGAATTAGGAATTTGTCATTCTTATACGATTCTTTATTGTTTTTTCTTTTTTTCCAACCAGTATTTTATTTAATAGTTTTTGATGTTAAAAAGGAGTGGGTTGATGAATAGAACCCAATCGTTGTGATTGGATTAGAAAATGTAGGTATTGACTATCGAGCCAAATACGATTTTCAAAATCTTCTATAAGCCTGGCTACTCCTAGCTACAATCAAACCTCCTTTATTTGTAACTAAAAAAGATCTAGTCATCCTCGTTAAGTGCATAAGAAAAATGTTATCTAAATTTTTTCTCGGGAGATGAAAATAAAACTCAGACCCTGACAATGTTTCAAGATATCATTCTTGAGGAGATAGTTAAGGAAAGTACTTTACAAAAGCTAAGGATTGGAAATCATCTAGTCCTAATCTTAATACGCAGTGGGTTATGGTAAATTGCCGGGAGAAGGCTGCCATGAGTGCGGCGCTGCGGTGGACCCGGCCCAGCACACCCTCGAGGTGCGCAGCGGAAGACCTCGTGATGGCTCTCGGCGGAGTGGAC